TTGCTGAGGCTGGCTTTGAACTTGTAATCCTCCCTCCTCAGCCTTCTGAGTCACTGCAATTACAGGTCTATGCCACCACTCCTGGCCATAGGAATCAATTTCTTTATAAAAGGGTCTTCATGCCCTAGAGCCTTGTTAAAAACGTGATCTGAGCCGGGTACAGTGGTACTCGCCTGTACTCCCAGTGGCTTGGGAGGTTGAGATAGAATCTTGAGTTCAAAGCCATCCTCAGCAACAGCAAGGTGCTTAGCAGCTCAGTAAGACCTTGTCTCTAAATAAAATACAAAATAGGGCTGGGGATGTGGCTCAGTGGGCCAAGTGCTCCTGAGTTCAATCCCCAGTATCAAAAAAAAAAAAAAAAAAAAAGTGATCTGAAGGCTGGAAATGTAGCTCAGTGGTAGAGCGCTTGGCCTAGCATAAGCAAGACTTTGGATTTGATCCTCAGGTACCACCACAAAAATAAAATATAAAAAGGGATCTAATATATCCTGAATTAGCATTACCTGAAAGTTTATTAGAAATATTGAATCCTTGTCCCAACCTCAAGACCTACTAAAATCAAAATGTGCTTTTTAATAAATTGCCATGAGATTCAAATGCCTATGAAAGTGGAAAAACACTGCAACAGAAAATAACCTTAGTGTATAACTAATTAGAATAAAAATAAAAAAAGAAAGAAAAGAAAGAAAGAAAATAACCTTAGTAATTACACTATTCAGGTGTAGAAACCTGGTTTCTTTTCCTGATTCTATAGATGGAATCCAGGAATACTACATCTCCATCCATTTTTTTTGAGATAGGGTCTTGCTAAATTGCTGAGGCTGGTCTGGAACTTTAGATCCTCTTGCTTCAATCTCTCTAATAGCTGGGATTACAGTGTGTTCTATCACGCCGGGCTCTCTGTTTGTTTTTTTGCCTAGTATACTTGATACAATAAATTTTATATATATATATATATATATATATCTCCATATAATGAAACTATGGTATCTATGACTGATATAAATATATTTACTAACATAGAAAGATGATCATTTGGGCGCTGGGGTTGTGGCTCAGCAGTAGAGCGCTCGCTTCTCACATGTGGGACCCTGGTTCAATCCTCAGCACCACATAAAAATAAATAAACAAAATAAAGATATTGTGCCCATGTGTAACTAAAAAAATATTAAAATACATATATATATATGTTAAAAAAAAAAAAAGAAAGAAAGAAAGAAAGAAAGAGGGCTGGGGTTGTGGTTCAAGCGGTAGCGTGCAAGCCTGGCATGCGTGCGGCCCGGGTTCGATCCTCAGCACCACATACCAACAAAGATGATCCTCAGCACCACAAACAAACAAAGATGTTGTGTCCGCCAAAAACTAAAAAATAAATATTAAAAAAAAATGCTTTCTCTCTCTCTCTCTCTCTCTCTCTCTCTCTCTCTAAAAAAAGAAAGAAAGAAAGAAAGACGATGTTTTGGGGCTGGGGTTGTGGCTAAGGGGCAGACTGCTTGACTAACATGCTTGAGGCACTGGGTTTGCTCCTCAGCACCACTTAAAAATAAATTTAAAAAAATAAAGGTATTGTGTCCATTTACAACTTTAAAAAATATTTTTTAAAAAAGATAATCATTCAATTAAGTTAAAAAACATAGCATATAAAATGTTATATATGGTTCCACTTTTTAAAAAAACTACATTTAACAATTTACATAGAAAAAAAGTCTAGAAGTCTCTACTCCATAATATCAATAATGCAAGGGGAGAGAGATTACAGATAATTTCTTTTTTCCTCATTGTTTTCTAGCTTTTCTACAAGGAGTATATATTATAAGTTTTTAAAATAAGTTTTTGAAACTAGAAAGTTAAAAATGGAATAGAATTGTATTAGTATACATACGGTTCAGCAAGCATCAAAGGCAATGCATTCTCTTGGATTTTGGATGGACGGTTGAAACCCATGGCATAGACTCCTTGGAGAAGCTGTGGTTTCCTAGAAAAACCATTGAAGGTAACAGTCATATAGTCTCTGACTGAGGAACACAGCAAAATACCTGGTAGATTTTTCTTCTCTTTTTCACTGTAAACACATAGTTTTTAAACAACAATAATTGAGTTGAACACAATGTGAGAGTGCAGCTAAAGCTTTTACAGATTAACTGGAAATATTCCTTAATAACCAAAGCAGATAAATCTGATTATTGACTTGTGTTAGCTAAAAATATTCTTCTGTATGAAAAAATATGTACAACAGGTCTAGGATCTCTACCTAAGTGCAAAAGAAGTAAACAAAATACAGTCGAAAGTAAACAAGTACTCACAGTCGAAGCTCTTCAAAAGACTTCACTGAGTAGAGTGGGGAGTTCGGATCTCGCTGCAGGACTTCCACTTGGTTAGTGTTATCCACAAGGTTGCTTCGGATCAGCTTGTTGAGTAAAGACTGGGCAGCTCTGTCCTCTGTCAGGGAAAAAAGATCAAAGATTTTTAAAAGTCCATGAAATCCAGAATGAGTCCATTTAAATTCAATAATATGATTGTACTGGGCTTTCTAATTTAGGGTACTTCATAGTTTTGATTTATAAATATAATTAAAATAGTTCTATTTATTTATTTACGAAGTGCTAGGGATTGAACAAAGGGCCTTCTGCATGCTAGGCAAGTGTTCTACCACTGAGCCACATCCTAGCCCATCTTACTTTATCAAAAAGAAAGGCTATAATACCTACATTGCCTCTTGGGGCCTCATATTCTTCAGTGATACTGGGGATTTAATTCAGGGGCACTTTACCACTAAGCCACATCCCAACCCCCCCCACTTTTTTTTAGTACCAAGGACTAAACTCAGGTGCACTTAACCCCTGAGCCACATCCCAAGCCCTTTTTTATATTTTATTTAGAGAAAAGGTCTTGCTGAGTTGCTTAGGACCTCAAAAAATTGCTGAGGCTGACTTTGAATCACAATCCTCCTGCCTCAGCCCTCCCTAGCTGCTAGGATTACAGACATGTACCACCATGACCGGCTCCAAGCCCTTTTAATGTTTTAATTTGAGACAGGGTTTTTAAGTAGCTGAGGCTGGCTTTGAACTCACAATCCTCCTGCCTCAGCCTTCCAACTTGCTGGGATTACAGGCAAGTGTCATGGCACCCAGTTTTAGAACTCTATTCTAACAATCCTTTTTGGGGGGTTATCTGTTCTTCCTATCTGGACCCAAATATTTACTTCTCATTTGCACTCAATATAAACTTAAAAATTAGCTTAATAGATCCATCACAACAACAACAACAACAACAACAAAAGAAACTGACAAAGTCTCCATTTTTATGTGGCATAAGTTGTTCACATCTTGTCATCTGAACCAAAATATAATTAAGTTAAACACTGGGGATACAACTTAAAATTCCTTTTATAATACCCTGTATAAGATAATCATTAAGGGAATATTTCCGGCTGCTGCTTAAGTTTATTAGTTGTTCAATGTAAACTTTCTCTAAAAAGTGACCATTAGAATTCCTTCACCTATTAACTATTTAAGTTGAACTTAAACTAGCACTGGGACCCCTTTTAAAGTCAAGCCAAGTTGGGTATAAAAATGAAGCCTCATAACTACACATTTTCTTGGAATATAGAATTTCACTTATAGAGCTTTAAGGCTACATCACCTTTCTCTTCTTCATCTGTCTTCTCTGCATTAGCATTGGTCTTGACAACAGCACCTTTATCAAACACAAAGTGGCTGTCATTTAAAGTCACATCCCAAATCCAACAGCCAAGACAATTCAAATTCTAGGATACTAGAAAAGTAAAGGCCTGAGAGCAAAAAGATAAATGAGAACAAAGCCACTACTAAAAACATTTTATTATCCCCAAATAAAGTATTAAGAGACTGCTGCTTATATTCAATTCTCTCTCCTTCCAGGTTCCCTTACCCTATATCTCAAAAAATAATGCTTTTTTCCCTCATAGCATCAATAATGCTGAAATAGTATAGAAAGATACTATTATAATAGCTATGATCAGACAACACCCAATGTTCAACAAAAGAATATCTGTGTACATAATATTCTGTCAGCTTGTGAAAAAAAAGTTACTAAAGATCTATGTATACAAATTTATTAATAGAACAGAAATAGTCAAACAATTTGTAGCTATGTAAAAATATACAGAAAAAGATTCACAGTGAGGTAAATGTTACATTGCACCCTCCCTGCTTTTCTGTTTGTTTATTTATTTATTTATTTATTTATTTATTTATTTATTTATTGTGACAGTGCTGGGAATTCAAACCCAGGCAATACAAGCCATACCAGGCAAGCACTCTACCACTGAGCTAAGCCCCCTACCCCTCTCCACTTAGATTACTGATAGATCTAAGTCCAGAATAATTACAATAGATGAACTTTCAGATTGCTCATACTTTATCCACCTCATCCCAAATTGAGGAACAGTTAAAAAATAATAATAATAATCTGGCAGTACAGTCCTATGGTGAGTAAAACCATTAGGCACACTCATTCTTATATTAAACATACTTTGATTCTATGATCTAATTCATTGATTCTCAAATCAAAAGAATGACAATATCTGCTAGCCCCCTGTCCAGAATATAATTTTTTTCCAAGTAATTATTATGCCAAAATAAAAATACTAAAGGAAATGACATTTGTTTTCAAACTAGCTTTTAATTACTCACCATTGACATCTGGTTTGATTTTCTCTTCCTTAAGATGCAAGTTGCTCAACTAAATGAAGAATATGGGGGAGGGGAAAGTGTCAGGAAAATCACTTAAAAGATTTTGAATCAACAGAGCCTCCCTCATGAAGGTGGGGAGAAAAAGCCACTCCCAAGACCTTCTCACTAGGTGTACTCATTGGGAAGGATTCAGCAGGCTGTTCTGCTGGGTTCCTTTTACTTAATGTTTAAATAAGAATAAACAAAATTTCCCATAAATACAGTAATAGAAAAAAAATAAAGGTTACACAGGAGTAAAAATCAATAGTTTCTAATTACAATTTTTTTAAAATTTTGGCCATTTTATTTATTTATTTACTTATTTTTTAGTTTTCGGCGGTCACAATATCTTTGTCTGTATGTGGTACCGGGGATCAAACCCGGGCCGCACGCATGCCAGGTGAGCGCGCTACCGCTTGAGCCACATCCCCAGCCCTCTAATTACAATTTTTAAAGAATTTAATTTGTGAGTTTGCTTAATGCCCCGATTACAAAGATTTTCTCAGAGGAATATCATTAGAGTTGTCATTCTCTCACATTCTTTTCTTCTTCTTTTTTTGCGGGGAGAGTACTGGGGATTGATCCCAAGGGTGCTTTACTACTGAGCTACATCCCTAGCCTTTTTTTTTTTTTTTCATCTTTTTAATTTTGATACAGAGTCTCAGTAAGTTGCTGAGGCTAGCCTCAAACTTGCAATCCTTCTGCCTCAGTTTCCTAAGTTGTGGGATTATAGGCATATATACACTCTCATGTTCTACCCAACAAATCTAAAGAAAAATTAGAAGAGAACAGGAAGGACTACAAGGCAAAGCATCAGTGGATAAGACTATGCATGCTGCAGGATATGTTCTAGCCACAGCACTACAGCCACTGATAGGCAGCCTCATATCAAAGCCTCATTGTACTGGGTGTCTGATATTTTAACTGGAACAGACTGAAGCACGGCGGCATACTGTGTAATTGGAATACCCACTAGGCTGAAGTGGAATACAAAGACACCAGGCATAACACAGAAACATTTCAATGAAAGAATTACTAAGACTTTTATTAAAAAACTGCAAATTTAGCAAGATATGGCGGTATATACCTATATTCCCAGTTATTCAGGAGGCTGAGGCAGGAATAGTACAAATTTAAAGCCAGCATAGGCCACTTAGTGAGACCCTAGTCTCAAAAATAAAGGGTTAAGGATGTAACTCAATGTTAGCACATGTGCCCTGGGTCCCCAACACTGTAAAAACAAAAAATTTTTTTAAAAAATTCAGGATACCCTGGTAGGATTACCTTCCCTAGTAGAATGTAAATACCTTAATGACAAAATATTTCAAAATTTGGATCTAGTACATAACAGGTACACTAATAAAATATTAAGTGGCTTCTAAGATATCATTTAGTAAAAGATAAGATTATAAAAATCACTACAATGATACGGTTATTTCTTAAATCACCATCAAGTTCTTTATGTCCTGAGGTTCATTTCTGTCTTTTCCAAGGGACCAAGGGGAAAAGGAAGGAAGGTGGGGAGACAGAAATGAAAACAAAAACTTTATTTAATAGGTATTTAGATGACAATGGAAGAGGCTCATTTCTACTCCTTAACTATGAAGGAAAACAAACTAACAGACAATAACAATGGAATCACCAGCACAGTGCATGATATGTAGTAGGTGCCCAATATTTTTCAGTCTGCTAAAGCACTACCTACATTCTACCAGCTTAAGTCTGGTACTCAACTTTTCAGAGAGACAGACAGATACAGAGATTGGCAGCATTTACGAGAGAAAGGCTAGTAGTAGTCATTTCTAGGGTGATAACTATTACCTAACTAAATGACAGGGCTGAGGTATAAACAAGTTGAGTCAGAAATATCCATTACTATAAAGCATTTTAATTCAATCATAAAAGGACATTCAATGATAGAAGAATCATTCTGTTGATATTCTGTTCAAATTGAAGTTAACAGGGTAAAATGTGTAGAAAAAGTTGCCACTTCTAAAGTAAAGGACACCAACAGATGTCTTTTATTACAATGTATTAGAATTCTGATACACAYTGCAGATTCCTACAGAACGGAGAAAACCTACTCAGCCCTGGGTAGGCTCTAAGGGTCTTAAAGCCTAAATAGACCTGCTGTAATGGCAGCAAACTGAATGCTAGCACTTAGGTAGAAAGCACAGTTAATTCAGATACTCTTCTTTGCTCTATTTATTTAGACCAAAATCATTTTGAAACCCAGGAACTAGTCAAAACAAACCACCCACCTTTTCCAAATCGCCCAAAGCCCTACTTTTATAATAGCCACTTTTTTTTCACTGCCTTTAATATTTTAGTTTTTAAGATATCTGAATGATTGGACATTATATAGTTACACTTCATTTTATTCAAAAGTACTTTAGAAACAATTCTTGAGGCATAAGGATGGACATTTAAGTAGTACATGACCTGTATTGAACAGGGGTTACCTTGGGCAAAATTGTGAAGTAGAAGACTTAGAAAGCCTTAGCAGGTTTTGAAGTCCTTCACCCTCTAAATTGACAAAGAGATCTCCAATGGAACAAAGAGGAGAAATTGTAAATAGAATCTAATATTCTCTTATCTACAGTGAGTATGAAATGAAGCTTGATGGATATTTAAAATACAGGTGTTCTCTTACTCTTACTCTCCCTCTCTCTCTTACTTTACCACTTTACCTTTCTTCCTCTCCCCCTCTCTCCCTCCCTCCCTCTCTCCCTCTCTCTCTCCTTCTCCCTCCTCCCTCTCCCTCTCCCTCTCTCCCTCCCTCCCTCCCTCCCTCCCCCCCCCTCTCTCTCTCTCCCCCTTTCTCTTCTGCAACTGGCTACTATGGTCCTGCTAATGAAATCTCAGACAGGTAAATGGTTGTTTTGGCTTGTTGAGTTTNTTAAAATACAGGTGTTCTCTTACTCTTACTCTCCCTCTCTCTCTTACTTTACCACTTTACCTTTCTTCCTCTCCCCCTCTCTCCCTCCCTCCCTCCCTCCCTCCCCTCTCTCTCTCTCTCTCTCTCTCTCTCTCTCTCTCTCTCTCTCTCTCTCTCTCTCTCTCTCCCCCCCCCTCTCTCTCTCCCCCTTTCTCTTCTGCAACTGGCTACTATGGTCCTGCTAATGAAATCTCAGACAGGTAAATGGTTGTTTTGGCTTGTTGAGTTTACGGAGCTTTTCCACCGTTCCTTACATTGGTGCTGAAACCCAGGATGGGGATCCCCGTCACTCAAGGTGGAATCCCATTCCCAAACTACAAGTGCAACTTGTAAAGACAGAAATGAACCTCAGGACATAAAGAACTTCCTGTGGAAGTCCACTCCTCTGATCACCTGCCTGACATCCACCACTGGCCTGCAGATTGTTGCAGGGCATGTTCATGGACTTCTCCTCGGAGGAAATCCATGCCTTTAGTGCATGGATATGGGGCCTCCTGGCCCTTCTCCAAACAACTGACCACCCTCCCTCCCTCCCTCTAAATGACACCCCTACTCAGCAGGAAGTAGCCAGATCCAGGACTACGCCCCCAAACCAAAACAAAAAAGGGAGGAATGTTGGTAAAGATGGCGCCCGGAGCSCTTCTCTTCCGGGAGCTGAGATCCATGACACACTGAATGGCATGTGAACCATCACCTCCAATCCCCGTGAATGGCTCAAACTTTGAATGACACCACCTCCAATCCCTGAAGTGGCCTGAACTCTCGGCCAATGAAGAAGTAACAGCCCACTCACCTTGCTCCTCCTCATCCTGTGTTAAGCCCATAAATATCAACACCCAGTTCTGCTCGCTCTCTTACTCTCCCTCTCTCTCTTACTTTACCTCTCTTCCTCTCCCCCTCTCTTCCTCTCTCTCTCCCTCAACCCCCTTCTCTTCTGCAATTGGCCACTACGGTCCTGCTAATAAAATCTCGAACAGGTAAAAAAAATTAAATAAAAATTAAAATAAAAATTAAAGGGGCTGGGGATGTGGCTCAAGCGGTAGCGCGCTCGCCTGGCATGCGTGCGGCCAGGGTTCGATCCTCAGCACCACATACMAACAAAGATGTTGTGTCCGCCGAGAACTAAAAAATAAATATTAAAAAATTTCTCTCTCTCTTCCTCTCTCTCTCTCTCCCTCTCTCACTCTCTCTAAAATAAATAAATAAATAAATAAAAATAAAAAATAAAAATTAAATAAAAATTTAAAAATAAAATACAGGTGGAATAATTAATGTTGCTCTGTATGCGTTGCAGTCACATGCATGCAACTCCCGGAGGAGCCTCAGTGGGAGTTCCAAAAGACAGAGGAGGATAACAGGCATCTTATTTGTTCAGCTTTTGAATACTGTGACTTATTATAATTGACCTGTTTTTTTGCATGGTTAAATATCAAATCTTACCCATGATTCAACTAACTGATCTATACAATATGGACAAAAAAACAGATTCCTTCAAAAAAAAAAATTCTGTGAGCCAGGCACAGTGGAATACACCTGTAATCCCAGCAGCTTGGGAGACTAAGACAGGAGGATCACAAGTTCAGCAATTGCCAGGCGCTAAGCAAATCGATGAGACCCTATCTCTAAATAAAATACAAAATAGGCCTGGGGATGTGGCTCAGTGGCCAAGTACCCCTGAATTCAATTCCCAGTACCAAAAAACAAAATAACAACAAAAAAAGCCCACCTATGTGAATTATAGATAACAACAATAATAGCCATCACTCATATCAGGCATGTCCATAACTCAATGAGGTAGATACTATGATTATTCTCAATTTACAGATGAAGAAACTAAGGCACAGAGAGGTTAAGCAACTTGCCCAAGGTCATATAACTAGTTAGTTATGGAACCAGAATACAAATCAAAGTCCACCAAAGGTATTAATCTCTATCTAAAAGTGCTTCTCAGAGCTGAGGTTCTGGTTCAGTGGTAGAGCACTTGCCTAGCATGTGCTGAGGCACTGTGTTTGATCCTAAGCACCACATAAATAAATAAACAATATAAAGGTCCATTGACAACTAAAAAATAT